AGCAGGAAAGGACGCAGGCAGGCACGGCGGTATTGCAGTTTGCCGTCTTCAGGCGCGACTGGAGGCACCTGAACGGGTTACAACTTAATGCAGCAGCAGCAGCTCCGACGAGCGCAGTGCCAAGATGACACGCTGGCTACGTCCGCTCCTTCCTGCTATTGTGGTGCAGGAATATCCAGCATAACAGCGTGCGAATTCTCCATTGTACAGCTGAAGTTTGATTTATGCAGGAAGACTTCTTGCGCATCTTTTTTACCAGCAACCATTTACTGCCAAGCAGAGTAAAATATTTAGGCCGAAATTTGCATTTGTCATCAAATGTTTTAGTTTGTATTTCCATATCCTATTTGTTTTTTGACTACTAATGACACGTACATTTCTATAAAAATAGTAACTTCATTTTTCAGATTCTAATATTAAAGTCAAGAAGGTGAAATCAATTAAAGCAGTCAATTATACTCGCAATCTGTAAGATGGTCTCCTTCTGTTACAGAAGGAGTGTTGCATGGCTTTAATCATTCCTCCTGGTCTTTCTGCCAGCAGGCTGTCATTTATGGATGGAAGTCAAGCAGACATTGCAAAAATTGATATGCTGCTTCTCAAGGTTTTAACTGTTGAAATGAGGAATACTGGCTGCATTCAGGTTATCCCACTGTATTATTTGCATCCCCACAGTACGCTGTGCATTCTGCAAGAAAAGGGTTGTATTTTTGGAAAACGTTATCTGCATATTTTTACTGACTATGCCAAAAGCTAGCAAAAAGGATTAGCATTCCTCCCCAGCAGTTCAGCCGTTCTGGGCAGCTGCCAAAATTACGCATCCCAAAGTCTGCTCAGACTAACCTTCCTCATCCTGCAGAAATTCCAGTAGTTCCATTTCTTTCCTTTGTGCCAGCTAAAGTGCATTTTGCAGAACAGCAATTTACAGCCCTAATTCCCTTCCATCAAACTCAAGACGGTATCTTCAAGAGGAAAAGGATGCCTTCTCTTTTACACACATACACACCCTCCCCGCAATTTCTGTGTTTCTCTTTAATTATAGGAACAATGAAACAATCAGGTAATTTTTAACCAAAAAGTTCATGCCTAACAGAAGGAGATTTACGCCGGACTGATAGTAAGGGTCCTGCTAACCAGTAGTATCACATTCTGAACCTCAGAGCGCATTTCTCCCACCCACTACCAAGCTGATTAACCTCATTTAACAGCTAAAAATGCCAATCTTACTTTCTCCTCACACTTAAACCTTAGACTCTTTGTAGCGAAGAGAGGAAGACGACGGATGGGAAGGTAGAGGATGACAATGGAGCAGAGGATTAATTCTCCGTTTAAACTTCCAAGGAAGTGAGACAATCGAAAGCTTGCTCATTCATATGATCATCCTGTATCTGCTGTAACACACAAGGCTTTAAAAGGGACCTTGGCAGCTGTGCTACTACACGCTCCAACAAACGTAGTGGGAAGGAGTCCGCATGCCACTGAGATGATGCTGACTACTTAGGCTCTGACATCTTTAATATTCAACGTACTCTGAATTATTTTCCCAGTAATCAATATTTTTCTCTTCAGTTCCCATCTAAAAGCAGAAGTCATAGCCTTCCACAAGTCTTAATCCCAGCAGGCTGTGGATGCCCTCTGCTCCTTAGCAAACAGAACCAGTGACACCATTTGCGTGTGCAGCCTAAAACATCGATGAAAGGGACCAAAGCCCGGTCTCCCTTCACCTCGAGGAAGAGGAAAACACCACCTGATTAATCACCTCCGCAGCCGAAGCAGAGCAGACAGGCAACTCCTTTGCTGGATAACCACAGGAGAAGCAGCGGCAGGAATGACCAGGACTATAATACCCAAAAGGGAAATGGCCGTACACACTATAAGCTAAAAAACCCACCAGCCTTCACATATTTGCTGCAGTTTATTAACTAGCCAGCTGCTCGTGCTGCTCTCAAATACACTTATTTCTTGGCGCAGATGCATCAATTGCTATGATTGCCAGCTGTATCCAAAAATCCTTTTTCTGACCCAGAAAGGCAAACGTTGCCATCTAAATCTACCAGACTTCAGGTTATATTTTCAGTTATTTCTTTAAAAAAAAAAAAAAAAAAGGCAATATGAATTTCAAATCTAACCAAGCTTTTTTCCTTCTTTCCCACTTTCGAAGGATGTTTTAGTTCCAACCAGAACCTAGCCACCCCCCAAATAAAGGGCTAGTCTGAATTTTGGAAGCTATGGATCTATTCCCCTTTTACCAGATGTGACGCACTACATTCCAGCAGCATTCAGTCATTGCAGCTTCAGGCCCCGAACTACTTCTGCAGTCCTGTCTTACATAGCTTAGAGGAGAACAAAGGATGCTGGCTTTCTTTAACGGGAATAGCTACGTTAGGAGGATATTAGACAAACAAAACACATGAATAGTCAGCTAGGATTAACATTGCTTAAAGCTGTGTTCTTGTAAAGCTGAGTCACACCGCAAACTTGTGTGTTTCCTTTGAAACTGGAAGAGTAGCTACCAGTTCACCGATACTAACATCTGCTCCTACACCAAAGAAAGCCGACGGAGACATCTCAAGAACCGGATAATGTCCCTTAAAAGCTTTTCTAAGTTTTCAAGCCTTAATGTTCATGAAATTACGCTGAGCAGTCTATGTTGACAGGGCAAGCTTCAAATCACTTTCCTGCTCCCCGAATGCCTGCGTCAATGGACACAGCATCCTCCTTTCTTCTCTCCCAGTATCATCGAGTCAAGTTTAGGAATACAGACCTGTGAAGAGAACTGCCTACAGGGGCAGAGTCACAAAACCTCTTTAGGACAGAAAGTTAGTTTTAGAGAAGTTTGCCTTTCCAAAAATTGTTCAGTAATTTTCTTTTTAAAACCCAGGATTTTCAGATGCGAGTACGGTATTTAGACAACAGACAACGTGCTTACAAAACAGGCCAGATATGAACCTACTGTTTTAAATATGTTTTTGCTTAAGACAGAAAGGCACGAGTAGACCAGCTGAGAGTTAATGATGCCTGATAGTATCAACTGCACTATTTCTTTCATTAAAAATATCCCTCCCTCAAGGAAGCCAATACTCCTCAAATAACATTTAATGGCAATACATTTTTTCTATAAGAAAAACTCTTTAGGAAGACAAGACTCTTCGTCCTGGTAGTTTTATACCGAGTCACGCAGAGAGGAAAACCACCAAACAGAAAGAGAACAACAGGAGACATTTACAGTGGCCTAAGCTTCTCCCCTGGCATTCTCTCAGGTACTGACTCTGAAGCTTTTCACTCTGTTCGTTATTGTTGGAGCGCCTTCCCATCAGTTTGCAGGGAGAAAAGCAGTAACAGAAAGGAAAACCTAACAGCTCTTGAGTGCCTAAGTCCGCAACAGGAAATAAAAGTGTTAGCTTGAACGACGACTATAAAATGCCCACGAAAATATTAACAGCTAACGATTCCTGAAAACATAAACATACTGAACAGATGAACTGTTGGTGCTACTCCAGGGAACAGGATAATTGGTTTTTCTTGCACGCTAAGACACCACTTTTCCATTTTTGGCACGAGATGCACCCAGCCTTGCTCATCTGTTGGATACGAAGCATCTAAGATGCGTTCTCTGATGTACCACACCTGCAAGAAGATGGAAGAAAACACCCATGCCATGGCAGGACCAAGTAATTACACCTCCGGCGCTGCCCGGGAGGGTTCGTGCTCTGCCGTCACAGGTTAGAGCCAGGTCTTTGTGCTCCCGTTCCTTTGCGGCAGCA